GGTTATTTCAGGAAGATACATATTCGTTATGTTACAATGTTGATGATAATATTCATGTTTTTACTGGCTAAATGTTCTTAACAGGGTGTGTTCTCTATAAACAGAATAGTTACGTAGAGATGTGTTGGCGTTTTATTGTATTTTGAAGACGACATTTCAAATGTTTATTTCATTTGACTGTGAATATTTTATCAGACACCAAAACCGCTTCTTTGTTTGTAAGTTCAGAGTCGTGTTTTATCGCTCTATTGTTACTCTAAAAGACAGCTATCTTTTTAACATACTCTGGAATCTGATAGAGGAGTTTGGTAATACCGGTGTACAAACGCCCCAGTTTAACTGAATGCATATCAACTTAAAAACCTTGAGTTTGCGGTTCAAAATGCTTAATAGACTACTTTGAGCACTAAGTATTCCAATAAAGATGTAGTAAAACAATATACTTATAAAAAAACACAAGAAATGCATTTTGAGTTTTTGATGTTGTTAAACCGTTATGATCCTTTGATCATTGATGTGATATCGTAAATATTCTTATCACCGCCCACACTATCATCTCTAGAAAGGATWACCTATATTAAGAACTCAAAGGACWTTCAGATTGTCAAAATCAACCATTTTTTTATAAACACACTCACATCGTGATCWGTAGCGTCGTAGTCGGCAAGTGGTCGTCCTAAAGCATACGACGGCACCTTCTTTCTGACTGGTCGCTTTTCTTGTACGTCCTCCCCATCGCTGATCTCGTGGTGAATTTCGTTAAGAGCAAAAGTCACCCTCTTTGTTCTTCCTTCTTTCGAAGTTACTTCGTCTTCATCTTCATCCTTGGGCATCTTCGCCCGTAACTTTGGAAAAGAAGCGAGATATAATTTTTTTAGAGGGTGATGGACGAGCATGAGTGTCAGTTTGTGGTTGAAAAAGTTTAAATTTTGTCAGCGTCGTCCTTCGCAGTAGCAAGTTTAATCAAATAATGTTGGYGTGACACAATGAACGTTGCGTTATGGAGTTTTTTTCTTCAGATGATTGCGCTTGGTGCTTTGTTTAAAGCATGAATTTTTGATTATTTTTGAGAGTCATTGGCACAAGTCACGATGTTTTATCAATGTATAATATATCGCTTTTGCATAACAGTAGTGCCTATTGTATACTAAAAAACGTCAAATGTAACTTTCGTGTCGTTTTATCCCTTCATATCAATATTACCTGGTGCGACCCATAACTTTATCATAACTTAACTTATAAATCTATGCTTTCTCTTAAACGAGATATTTAACAAAAATATTATAATTTGTCTACACCCAGTATTTGACAATACAGAAAAACTAAAAATTTCCAAAGAGTTTACAGCGCAAGCACTACAACAATTGACGAGCGAAGTTTTGCGCGGATTTCAAAACATTGTTCAAAACGCGCGACGCAATTTGCATATTGCGTCGCACAGTTTGACTTCAATTACTATAAAAGAGAATTTTTTATTATCGTAATCGTTTTTATATGTCAGTAAGTCAAATCAGATTTGCWAGCGAACTAGAAGATGTAAACTCGACGGTTTAAACGGTGAGTTTTTGAATTTTGTTTAGTTTTTAAGCTGTTTTTGTATTGTCTATTATTATTCCAATGTAAGTGTTTTTATTACSCTGCGGTAGCGGGTGTATTTTTCTGTGAATTAACGGACAATATTATCGGTTACAATGACGGATCACGTGCTGTGCTGTTAGCGTGTGAGGTCACGACAAGATAGCACACTATGACGTCACATTACGTTAAGATTTTCTTAGAAAAACGTGTGCAAAAATCCCGAAATGAAGTGAAGTGCAGATGGCATTTATTTTTCATTTAAGTAAAATTTTAATCCCGCGTTTGAAAGAATAAAAGTCTTTGTGGAACACGAGAATCAAGTAAGACTGCAGGACCGTGCCTCAGACTCGAGTTGACAAGGAGAAATTCTTGTATACATTTTATACGCAGACCTGCCGATGGACGGAATATGAATGCCAATTGCACAGACATTCCCCATGGTACAAATCTACTTTAGGGCATTCGACCTTAGAAGCTTGTCCATTTTCAAACGTATTGCAAATACACCTGCTGACAAACAGACACCGCTGATCGTCCTGTAGACAGACCCGCTCAGAACCCCTTTATGGTCCGATGGACAGACTCCGTGACCATAGTTAAGTATTGGTCTGACAGACCTCCATTACACGCACATCACATAAAACAAGTTTTTAAAGTTAAGATTGATGCATCGACTGATAGACATACGGACTTCTATTTCCAAGTAAAGGAGCTTAGACAGACCTAAATATCAGACCGCTGACCCCATAGAACACTTGAAGGACATTGAGGTCATGCAGACAGGACTGAAAGCACTCCTATTATCGATGACGGTTTGACAGTAAGACTTTTAATTAACAGTACTCAGTTGTATAATCAGCAAACAGGTTGTTCTTGACTTAAAACGATATTGGATTATATGTTATAGTCACTACCAATCTCACAACACACTTCCTCTACAATTACGACTGGTTTTCACAGAGGGAGGAATATTGAAGGTACAGGAAAAAGAAAATAGCCCGGAGGAATTAATGCCATTATCCAGGAGGAAAGCAAGATCACCCTAATGTTGGACAGGCGTTTTGACTGGTCAGTTTCCCTTCCTCTACTCCACTGGGTCTCAAAAACAAATGAAAACTTAAATATGGCATATCTGCAAACCAACAGAACTTGAATTATTGATCCCCATGAAAGCCAAAATATCCAAAGACTCTACGGCGCTGAAAGCAATAACTTCTCGAGATATTGATTTCATAAAATTCGACTTTGCTCTSTGACTTTTGTTATATTGAAATGTTTTTCGTGTGCAAACACAGCTGACGAACGCCGACAAGTTAATACAGGAATATATTTCTATATCAATGGTAGAGTTCTGTATGCATGATTTTAACTTGTTCGCCGCGCGGTCAGCCTGGCTCACCCTATGTGCAACTGCTATGATGATTTGAAAACCACATATTCACTATTGGTATTTATCGTCAAAATGAAAAGAAATGGTTGTTATTTAGTGTTACTTAATAACCGAGATAAGTACAGCACCGTAATAGATGACAGACAATAAAGAAATATTTTAAACTGGTGAATAGATAGGAAAAATATATAGAATCAGATATCAAGAAAATGCTGTCGGTTACTCACCGGGCTTTGAGCAATGATTGATGTGAAATTCCCCCTGTTCAACATCTAAAAAACGAACACTTGATTAGAATAATAAAATCAATAAAGAAATCCTTATTAGTGGGATCAAAGCGTTTAAATAAGGATATACCTTGGTGACGGAGCCATAGAACACAACCCGCCGTCTTTCCCAGACGGTAATTCCAGTTTAAAACCGCCGTGTTGTCCAAAAGCTTATTTAATGAACTATTTGGAGATTTTAGCCTTAAACCATGTCAAACTTGACTTCAGTTTTGATTGGAGTGGCTTATAACCCCATCGTAGTGATCCAGGGGAGTGAACTCTTACAGGAAATATCATCAATCAACAAGTAAACAAAACCAAAAACGGCTTAAGGAAATACAGCAATATAAACAAACACTACTCGTTACTAGTCCCCTTAGTACACTAAAACCCAAAATGTTTACTTACCCTCCCCTCCCTGTATATTATTGCATATTATTCTGGTATTGTAAAGCTATAAAGTCAAGGAATATTTTTTTAATGATATAAACGTGGCTTGATAGAAAGTCATTTTAACAGTGTTTTTAGCGGGTTTTGAATTATTCAACGAATGCAAACTACCCTGAGCATTATTAGACACAATAAAGTGTGTTTTATCGTTATTCTCCTTCAAGCATTGCTCTGCTGTACAGTTTTTTACTCGTTTTCTTTCTATGTTAAATGGATGGCGATGTTAAGTTGCTATAGTTTCAAGAATTCACAACGGTCACCTTGACAAGTGTTATAACAATTATTTCAGGCATATTGACTTAATGGCGTGATCACGTGATCAGCCTTTCTCAGTATTACATTTCCTTTGCTATTAAAGTACGTAGATTAGTGGAAATTATCCATGTAAGACGAGCTCAAAAAAACAACTTAAAAATCGATATTATTAAAGTTGCATAGATTCCGTATTGGCGAAAATATTTTCCCAAAAATGTCAATTAATAAACTCATTTGGCTGAGACGCGTGACCTAGTATTTTCATCAAACTTATTTACTTCTTTTGAGTTTGGAATGTTATTGAATTCATTTTATGGTCGACACGTTTTCGATAGTCAATACAGCCCAAGGCAATACTCTCTTACCGAGATCACCGTTATACATCTTTCAACAGGTACATTGACGGACTTTTAGACCAGTATTTCTACCGATAAAAAACACATATTTACTGCCTTATACTGGCTTCAATTAATGTTTTTGTTTTCGTATTTAATAGTAAAACCAATACAGCACTGGAAATGAGGCGGTAATGGACGCTAACAGTTTTTGACGCCATTTCTGAATTGTAAATGAAATATACTGCACATAACTTGAAATTACTCAGTAGCTAAAGTATTTTAGTTGGATCAAACTTACAACTCAATCTAAACTCAAAAGTACTTGTAATGAATGTATACAAAGTTTATTTTTTTTAAATTTCCAAAGCGTAATAGACTCTAAACCTTGAGTCAAAATGTAGTCATTTAAAAAACATCTTCAAATTAACTTTAGATAACGTGTCTGAGTTTCTTACTTACAGATTACCAGCTGAGTATGTCTGCTGATTGGTAACCTTGACTTCCATGTTATGTTAAATTGTTTCGTCTAAAAACTCATTTTTCATAACCATGATCTCTTTGCGCAACAATTGGACAGGAATTTTTAGCTCGTTTATAATTGTTTATGAGCCGAATGCATGTCGYTTGGTCGTGTTACAGCATTCAAATTATCAACACTGGGGTATGCACCTGTTTGCTGACTGTCAATTCAAGCTTACTGGCTGACTTTTAACTTGTTTGTCGACATGGTGTTTAATTGGTCGATATACTAATAATGACTTTTATAATTTAAAACAGTACGTTCAACACCACAGGAGTGTTTAATGTATTAAAATTCTTCTTGTTCAGGGCTATACACTTAGTTGTTAGTACTTTGAGTCTGTTGTTTCCTTTATCAAAAAATATTAACTAAGCTCGTTTTTAGTCTCCTTCGCCGGCAGGGACAGGATGCCCAACAGGACGCTCGTTTTACAATCTACAATTATGCGGTAGATCCACTCTCTCACTCTCTCAAAGAAACACAAGTATCAAGGCTCGAATTTACTGTTTTGTGTCATACTGGATCAATTGCTGTTGTTTTTCGGTGAAAATACATCATATAACTAGCTTTAGGTATTATTTTTAGACTATGAGACACGCCTAATAGCAGTTCACGGAAGTTATTCTTACTTCACTTCCGGCCCTGAATGTAGCATAATTCCAGGTAAATTCACTGAACAGTCTATATCATTGGGAAATATATTTTCATTTTTATGTTATTACATAACATGTTTACAGCACTGAGATCAAAAACTCACAAAGAACATAATCTAGTCTAATTAATTAATAACGGTTATTTTTGGAAATTCAATCACGTGATAATCTTTTTACCGCCAAAATACTATCGATTCAGCATTTTTCGCTTTCCCTTTCTTATTATCGTTATCTTAAACAAATCTAAAAAAATAAATAGTTTGATTGATGTGGTATGTTTGTGGTTATTTTATGTTTTAACAAGCGAAGCATTTTTGCAATTTTCTTTGTTTTGTGCAAGAATTGAAGGTCTTAAAATAGCTCGTTAAATGACAGYTTCTTGGATCAGTATAGCATAAAGTGATTTATAAACCAATTAGCACGAATCTTTGAAGATTGTAAACCTTGTAAAGTCGTACTTAAAAAATTAAAAACCTTACATATTCCAACAATGATACGTGTAGAACTGAACAGCTAGTTTAACTCTTTTATTGTGTTCAAAACAATTAGAAACAAAAAAATCGCTTGCTTGCCTACAATTGTATTAACATGAATATTCAATTTACCCAGATATTGCCTTTTGAAATGTTATGGTTTATTCAGTTTTAGGATTTCAGTGCATAGGAAAGTCACAATTCGGTTCGAAAGATAAAAGCTGGCTATTAGTGGTCAATTGAAACAGTGGTCATTTCATATAACATCTCGTGTTATGACAATACTGATGCTATTAATAATTACTCGAGCAATACTTTCTCGTGTCACCAAATTCGCGAAAACAAATAACAATTTTGCTCGTATTTTCTATTTCTTTAGCGAGAAGTTAATTCTTTTTAGAAAAATTCTTTCTTTTTTGTGATTTTAAACTTGTTTTGTGTGTCTGTTGTTGATGTGGGTCATCAGTTGACATTGACAACCAAAAGTGCTTTAGCTAAACCACTTGCTTGTCAAGTGGGTCATAAAGATTCGAAAAAAGTTTCAACTTGTACTCAAATGGCAACTTGGACTACAGCTATCTTTGCATTTCTTTTCCACTACCTCTCAAAGTATTACTATTTTATTTTTTATTAACTCAAATACCTGAATAGGATCTAAAATCTACATCAGGTTGAAAAAAGAGGAAAATTGAAATATACCATGATATAAATAAAGTTTTCCGCATTGAAATTATTGATGTGTTATGGAAGCTTTACTCATGATGTAACTAGACCTTGATGGAAGAGCATGTGAGGTAGTTGCCAACTAAAGAAGGCATTTTTAACCATTAAAGCGAGCCTGCGGGCATGTTTAACAAAACAATTCGAAGTTTATAYCCCTGTTTTTACCTAACCGTTAACTTGTTGAATGCTAATTTGGCCTCTCAAAGACAAAATATCCCTAAAGTAGGTTACACTTGGCTTGGTATGTCCGCATAGTTTCATAAAAGCGCAAATGGTTTAGWTTTGGAAGTATGTTTTACCTAAACGGCCGCAAAACCTTGGTATGTGTTCAAGTTTTTGTGGTTGCTTGTGTTGTAGTTTAAGTACAGGTAAAATAAGGCAACAGTCAGGACATTTACGATATATCAGATCGTTATTACAATCCCAATAAAATAGAATGTCAATGATAAACAGCAGTGTTTACTAGCAATAACCAGCAAGCGATAATTTTTTTGATCTCTTTTTTATAATCAAATATCAGTGCTTGTGATTCAGAGAATGTTCTTAGAATGTTTTCTTTGAATCTATGGACATTATATTCATTCCTACCTTGAATTTTTTRTCGTAACCAAGAGTCACGATGGTGTCACTATTTGTTCTCCAAGTGCCCTGTCAATCCATGTAACATTCGCAAAATGACACAGTTTGGAAGCTCAAATCTCTTAGCGGGGTTTCTGTACTTAAACTCGAGATGTACTAAGCGGAGACTCAATTACAAGTGTTGTGAAGTATGACCAAGATGCCTCGCTTAGAATAACCCGCACAGACTTCCGGTAATTRYATTAGGTAACTAACGTTGCTTCCTAATCGTGCGCCTTGTTGTGTGCATGTATTAGGGTTGTGTAGCATGCGTCTAGTATTGGTGGAAAACAGGTATTGATACAGTATATTGTAGCAGGTGGCAATCAAGACTGTTAGAGTTCCTTATCGCTATATTTTAACCAAATCAACTCAATTTAATCTAAAAAGTCAGTACTCTTTTAAAGACGATTTTCAAAGATTCTCATTTAAAATTTGGTGAAAAGATTTGAAATGTAAAAGTTTGAAACAGGTGGTTGAAATGGATCCGGTGTGAAAGGAACGCCTGGCACTTTTCTGTCAAAACAAACATGGCTGCTAAAATGTTTTGGCGTATCTATCTTTTTTTTTTTTTTGCTTTAGGTTCAATCCAAAAGGAAGATTATATTAGTAGTAATTTGTTATTATTAGTGCTAAATTCATTTAATCGATTCCACAGACAAAACATCACGTTAGTATGTTTAACATAAGTTGGTGTTCCTTGACATTGAAACTGACAGTGACCCTGTCGAATGCAAACAAATTATACACTATCAATTTATATTTAGGTAGTACTGCTTTAAATCGATGTAAAATCTATAGCCTATTTCTTAGTTTGTTTTTCAGCTAAAGAAATATCAAGAAAAATCGTAAAATTATTGATATTAGTATTATTGTTATTGTTATTATTATTATTATTATTATTATTATTATTATTATTATTTTATTATTATTATTAGAATCATCATCAAATTATTATTTTCAATACTTCCGCATATTATGCGTTTCAACCTCGTTACATTACGTTACCGTGTTTGCGGATAAACATAAATTTTAAAAATTCGAATTCTTTCAATTTTCACCTTTTAATCCAGCCTTACAAAAAAGGATCAAATAAAATTACTTATCACAATGTTTTATGAAACTTCTTCCAAGAATTAAACGATATCAAACATTTCTTATGTTTCCTTGAGTATCTATCGCTAACAAATTTAAATTAAAGCCGRCCAGAAATTGCAATAATGTTGATTATCGTCAATCAACAATGAAAGCAATGAAATTAAAAACTTTAATTGGAGGTCGACAATGACTTATCGGAAACCAATTTCAAAAACAGCACTATTTCTCTCTCTTCTAAAAGAAAAACATGCAAATCATTTTGGTCTTTTTAGTTGAGAAAACAACGCAGTGTGCGCGTTTTTCGTATTTCCTACAATATTATATAGTTGCAATTTATTCACCTTCTTAAAACCGAAAAAAAAAACTTTTAGCATTTGCGTGCATCATTAAAGACAAACTTTGAACGATAGTTTCCCCCCTTATTTAAAAAAACATTACATGCATAAAAGAATCCATAGCACTTCTTTCCGAACCTTGCGTTGTGAATTCAGGGCTACAAATTGTAATAAATAAAAGCCAGCAAAGCTGTTAGTATTACTGTACTTTCTTCTCTAGAGAGTATTTTGGTTTACCTTGGAATACAACAATGTGCTCGACATTTTCCTCTTGGATTTTGATATCGTTACAGAATCCTCAAATAGAATTGTTTCTGTTCTTGGCAATTGTGGTTCCATATTACTGTTACAACGACCATTTGTCAAATGTTAGACATGGAGCTAGCGATTAATAATCTTCACTAGGAAATCACCAATAAAAAGAAAAATATTCATACATTTTGTAGTATAACTTTGCAATTTCTTTCAACCGCAATCATTAGGTCAATTACATTTTTTTTAGTTTTCAAAGTAGACTTGCAAGTGGTGACCGATTGTCATCAACATAGGACTCCTATCGTGTTTCGCAGCCAGGAACGACGGCTGTGTTTCAGTATGTTTTAGCTAAATCGTTATCATAAAAGATTAATCAAGCACTTAGCAGTTTCACACATGCATTGGACTTACTATTAGCTTTATATAATGGTTGAAAAATACTTGAAAAACAAAACGAATACAGAGATTATGCAGCAGATATATAGCTTACGAAGAAATTTGTTCCTTCAAACACTTATTATTGGCTACAGCAAGGCAACAAAGACCGAAGTCTATAGTACAGAAAATATCCCTATTATATACTTTTATTGATATGGCCAAATCTTGTGCAAGTACTTATTTACTGGCAAACTAGAAGCTTAGAAAGCGACGTTTCTTGTATGAGATCAAAGCAAAATCGTCGCTTAACCTAAATAGCTTAAATAGCCTCTAAAAGATCACGTCCCTTACGATTTATGATTGAAAATGAAGAAAATAAAATGCTCATATCAATGGCTTCTTATTAATAATGTAACACTGTCCATTGACTTTAAAAACACTACTTATTAACGTCATCAGCACGACATATTCAAACAATAATGAATCTTTTCGAGGTGACAGTCTGTATTGAGTTTAGTTGCTATAGAAACTTGACTGACAGACGTTTTGTGCAATAATAAGAAGATTTCGTTTCTGTCTCTCAAACATGTCAGTTGTTCTCTTATTTATCTTCACTAGCTCCGTTAAGCAAGTTAAACAGTGCACGATTCTCTTATTAAATCAATTCTTTATCGATATAGTGTTTGGGATGTTTGGAGCGATGGAGTCTAGTTTCACAGGCGTTTTATTAGAGCACCTTTTAAATGTTTTTTTTGGGGGGGTTTGAAGTTTCGATAAATTATATATACATGGCAGTTAATCCAAAGAATTGCACGTAAGGTAATCGAGATTTATTTTTTTCCCATACCAACTGAGAGAGATTGGACACTTAGGAGAAAAGCACTGCGCATGCGTGTAGGGTGTTGAAAATAAGGTAAGGAACTTTAGGCAGTATTTTCTTAACTTTTGCGATTTTATGCACTGAACTCAAAAAATCCCTAATTATATCGCGTCTTCCGAGTGTGCGCAGTGCGTTTTTTCCCTAGAGGCAAGGCTACATTTAAATATGGCGGCTTCTAATGACGTCATGTCTTACCGGTGGAGAGGGGCGGTCGCTTGTCTTCAACAATAGCATGGTTGAAAACACCTTTCAATTCTGTTAAAAATACATGAATACAAGGAAACATTTTTTCGATGCGATAAAAATTATTTCGTTTAAATTTTGTCATATGTTCCATTTCAGTTTCGCTTTTTTGTCAGTTGTTTTTTTCGTTGGAGTTTTCAAGTTTCAAGTAAATGGCGTCAGTATCATTACTTTCGCTTCTTGCACTTTTTACCGAGTCGCTTGTTTGTCAAACTGTCAGCTTTTTTTAATAGACTTTTGATGCTTTTACGTCACCTACTTGATTTGCAGTGCATTGTGGGATACGCTTGTGAAAAAAAAAGAAATCCGCCATGTTTTGTTCCAATCAAATCCTGCATTACATTGCATATACGGTGTATGACGTAAAAGCTTCAAAAAGTCTATTGAGTGATCTTTAGTTGTTCTGATGACGTCATGTAACTACGTCATGTGTCAATCATGTTGATATTATCCTATCATTTGATAGGTTGATCTCATGCGGAAATGAAGTCACTTCACCGGTGTATAAGAACTGGTAAAAGGACATCAAAGTATAGTTGGACGAACAGGAATTGACTTCATCGTTAGTAAATTCAGGTAAGAAACCAATTTTATTTGTAATACTTTTTTGGAATATGCTGTCAATCTTTTTTCTTATAGGAATCGTTGCTTCTCACGGATAAAACACTAAGATAAAAAGCTTTTATTTTTACACTCATCTTTTTTTTTTAGCCTTGTTATTGTTCAAATAAGAATAACTCTGTATCTGAATAAATTAAAACATGCGCAGCTCATAATATGGCGATTTTTTAAGCAAATTTTAGGATTTCCCAAGACCTGTGTCGTAGAATATCTCCAAAATATACAAATTTAGTTATTTTCTATATTTTAAAACTGGCCTCGGGTTTTTCACACCGAAGTGTACATTTGCCAGGTGCTATATAGCAATATTACTTTCCCTTGATTCCGTGCCGGCTGGCACAGTTTTTAAATCGGTCATGTCAACTGTAATAAATGAAAGCTCTTTAGAAACTTCTTGTCTATTGAAATCTTTTAGGTCTTTGCACGGGAAAAGTGCAAAAAATTATGTTGATATTTCCGACTACTTTATATTTGTTGCGACGTTTGTTTTGCTCTTTGTATTTGTGTTTTCAGAGACAATGTTCTCGCAGTTATCACTCACCTTTATAAACCAATACGTACTGTTATGTAAAACTCCAATGTAAAATGCGAAAACATATTCAACTGCTCGCCTTTTCAGAGGTACTTTCCACAAAGAAGGTTGAATGTTTCTGAAGTCATTTGATAAAATCACCTGCGTTACTCAAAATGCTTTTTTTTTGCTTCATCTGTATTTTTTGCGACCTTCATCTGTTTAGCAGCCCCTAATTAGAGTTACTTTTTTAATAATCTGGGTTTTCAAAGACTTTTAATTCGTGAGCGTGAAGGAAAGTCATTTGCGGCGGACAGGTGGGTTTACCACATTTAATGCTATTTTTATTTTATTTATCACAAAAACTTGCACAGAATTACTGTTTGGTTACCTCTGCAGTTCTGAGTCGATCAATGATTTACGGTTAGTTCTGTCAAGGAGATTTTTAGTTGTAGTATTAAAAAAAACCTTGATTTTGGCGGCTTATAACCTCGGGGCTCGGTTAAGAGCTATCCTGCATTTCAGATTCAATAATATTGACAATATTAGACTGTCGATTCTCTACTTGATACCGACTGATTTTTACTCGTAATGATGAAAAACTTTGTCATAATTTATAGCTTTATTTCAGTTGTTTTGTTCTGGTTGAAGCGTTTCTTTACAATGAATCCACGGGCGGAAATTCTTATTGATCAAATCATTGTCCAAAGTGGCTACTTCTCATGGGATTCATATTTACATAAAAAAAGTAGTGAGGTGTTAAGAGCTGTTCATTTTTTCTGCCAGAATTGTCCTCTTCAATGTGTCAGTATATTAGTGTATTTGGCTGTGGTCTGTATACTTTCATCCAATCGTAATGAAGAGCCAACAAGACCGTATTCACTATGTTAAGAGTAAAAAAAACTGGTCTTCACTAAGCTTTTGACAATCTGCACTTTGGTTTAAAAGCAAGTGGCAAAAAAGAAACTGAACAAAAAACTTCTGTACCTGAATCTCGCTGAATCTAAGAAAAAAATATTGATAATATGTGTTTTATCCAAAGTTCAGCTAAAAATATCCATTCATTGTACTATAATGTCCTATACTTCTCGATTTATTGTATTTTTGGCGCCTTATAGATTCGTTTCAACGGTTACGTATACCATGCGGGTTTCCCCAACATCCAAAGAGCTAGCAGACTTGCGCAGGCAACGCATCAAGAAAGAAAACTATGTTGGAGAATTTTAACTCAGTTAAAGATACTGACATTAAAACAAAAAAGTATACTGAAATTTCTTTAAAGAATCCCGTAATAAAGCGGATTGGTTATATAGTTGTAATCTAGTAAAATATATTAATAACGATTATGTGAGATTTCATAAATATACGACTGCACTTGCCTGTTTCGGTTCCATTACATTTATTTTCAGTCTTGGTGATGTTGCAGAAAATGGACTATTCCGCAAGTCCAAGAATTTCCATCTGCCATCCATCCAGTAACGAAACTAACACCAAAGACAAGAAGAAATTTTCGCATATCAGGTGAGTTTTACAGTATTTTTCCCCGATTTTCGGTGAAATCGTTGGTTGGAACATCGTTTTCAAATCAGTGTTACACATCATACATAACTAGTGCTTAGCTGCATACACAATCCCCAGCTTCCCAGTTTACATAAATTTTAGAAATAACGGTTGGATTTTTTTCAAGGTCAATATTTGCAGAAAATGACATGTAGCAAAATTAGGAAGGGAAACAGTTTGGTATATTACTTTTACAAATGCCACATCAAGCATTATGGCTGCTATCAAGATATAACGTTTATTGATAGTTTTAACTGTATCCCGTCCATTTATTGATTAGCCTGTAACTGTATTCGGTCCACTCCACTTATTAGTCTGTTATTGTTATTTATTATTAATTATTATTAGTATTATTACTGTTATTTCAACCCTTTTTTCAGCTATTCTGTCTTTGTTGCTGAGCATCCTTTTGTTCTTTTCTTCGCGACTCTTCTCGTTMTCTTCATCTGTTCTTTGTGTGATTTTGTGCCATTGTTCGGAGCTCCAGCCTTTCCTGATTTCTCCACTCCAGTCATGGTATGACGTTATACTAGCCTCATGAATAGCTTCGATATTTTACTTCGAAATTAAGGCTCGATCATGTGTTCTTTTCAGGGATTTGAAGCACGTGGTACGCTCATCAACAAGCGATGGAGGACACGCCTATTTCTTAGTCATGCTGTCCAACGTGACATGTTCTCTCCAGTCCCTCCCGTCGCGTCTCTCACCAACACCAAAGTCATGTATGATGTAATGCAAAATTGTCCAAACTTAAATTTTACGACAATTAAGACCAGGATAAGAAAGAGAGCAGAACCGAATTGGTCAGGTGAGAAGAAAAACACAAGAAAAACACAAGGAAGTAATGACTACACGAAGAATGCCAAGCGTGACGCAATTAACGCAAGGATTTCTCGAATGAAACGTGATAAACCTTCTGCATTACGTATGTGTGACAGTCCTAATGTGTATATGAAGTCACGCATTAATTACAAGACCATCTATAAAGCAGWAGATAATCAGAATATGATGACAACTCAACGAATAAAAGCGGTTTGTAGGATGGAAAATAAGGTGATGAGAAGCTTGTCTGGATTTGAAAAGCGTTGTTTTAAGAGAAATATTACTATATCTAATGACATTAAGGAGATATGCTGTCCAAGTTGGTCCCTTGGTAACTACATTGCTGCGCTGAGCTGGAAACCTTCATGTSAAGAMATTAACGATAGAGATGTGACGAAAATGACAAAAASACTCCAAATRTGCTCGGGATTTTTTCACAATAAAACGTTAAAAGAGAACTGTTGGGATTATAACAACGCCGCACCCTTCCCTTATTGCGCAGGTATACCTGTGGAGTGCATTCGCTACAACGCCGTGTTTAATATTTTATATTATCTAACGGACAGAAATTTTTACGGTTCGAATAACGATAGCAAGTTAACGTAYTCTCTTGTGCTMACACCAAGATTGKCAGACAMGACGTACTCTACCATGATATACAACAAGTACATCAAGAACAAAGTTGTTGTTGACGATTCTGTCAAACTAGTTGGGTCAGAYTTTTTCTACTTSAAGTTTTTCATGTTCAACAAGAATTTGCTTGGGGATTTAATCTATCCGTCCATTGCTTTRATGGTGATTTTRACAATAATGTGGTTCTACACYGAATCGCTTCTCTTAACCTCTCTTCTATCCGTCTCTGTGTTAAGTGCGTTAATTTTGGCCTACTTTGTTTACATGATTGTACTTCGACTGGACTTTTTTCCTTTCCTCAATGTTACAACGCTTATCTTCTTGGTTGGAATTGGCGCAGACGACGCCTTCGTTTACACTGATGTTTGGCGTCAAGCAAAGAGGGAGTGCCCAGGAGGATCCATTACTCAAATCACGTCTTATACTCTGAAACACGCGTCTCTATCGATGTTTGTAACAAGCTTAACGACATCGGCAGCSTTCATCGCGAACTTCACGTCAGAAATCACGACAATTAAGCTGTTTGGTTTGTACGCAGGYGTAGCAATACTGGCCAAGTTTTCYCTGATGGTCACGTGGTTTCCCGCTGTATGCGTCATCAATGAATTATACTGCTCAAAGAACGTYTGTAGTTYRACTTCTGGACAGAACTGKCTCACCAAGTGTCGAAYAAGCTACGAGAAAACGTTCACAAGATTGACGCGTTATGTTTTTGATGATTTTCTTCCTAAGCTTGTGATACGCTTCAAGTACTTTTGGATTGTTTTGTTTTCTGTTCTTACTGGATTTGGTCTCTTTGTTTTGCTCGGTTATCCTGGTTTCCAGCTTCCCACGTCATCGGATTTTCAAGTTTTTACTGCGTCACATCCGCTTGAGACGTACGACCTCTACTTGAAGGACAACTTCCGGTTTGAATTGAGTCCGTCCCAGGACAGCGCAACTTTTCCAATCGATTTGTTCTGGGGGATTGAGCCTGAGGATTATGGTGATCAACTAAACCCGTACAGTTATGGAAAGTTTGGCTGGGATCCTAAGTTTGACGTCGTTAGCCCAGAATCACAGAAATGGCTGCTGGGTTTTTGCAAGAGAATGAGAAAACAAGACTTTTACGCCGAGAAACTCGGAGCAGAAGAAAAGTGTTTTATTGAAGTTTACTACAACCAGTCTTGCAACGACGTCCTTGTACCAGAACTGTGCAATTACCCTTGTTGTAACAACATGACTTTCCCGTTTTCTAAGAATGTKTTAAACTATTGCGCAATATCGAGTGCATACCGAAGTARGACATTRAGATACAAAGTCAAGCACTCGACTATCGGGAACTTTATTTACAATCCCGCSGGACAGCTTATTGGAATTTGGATCAGAATACGAAGCAAYGTSAGACTSTCGAGAGCCTACGAGCCTGCGCGCAAGTTTTGGAATCGCATTGAATCATGGGTTAAGAGTGAAATGAGCACTGCCCCACCAGGACTGAGAAGGGGATGGTTTATAAGTGATTTAGAGTTCTACAATCTACAACAAAGCCTCTCTCGTGGAACGTTATTCTCATTAAGCGTTTCTATTGTAACAACTTTTGGGGTSATGGTGCTGACCACAAGGAACGTGTTTGTCAGTTTTTACGCAATTCTGACTATTATTGGAATCATATCCGTGACAATCGGCTCTCTGGTTCTTAGTGGGTGGAAGCTGAATATATTAGAGTCYATWACCATGTCTGTAGCAGTTGGAGTTTCTATTGATTTCTCCATGCACTTTGGAGTGGCCTACTGCTTGGCACCAGATAAGCACTGCCGCGAGTCWCGCGTGCGTTACTCRYTGTCACGCATGGGTTCAGCTATATCCATGGCAGCTGTCACGACATTCTTAGCAGGTACKTTAACTTGAGTGCATGCGAGTTTCRKAKATTGAMAAGGGTTTTAGTGAGTTTTTTCGATATAATATTCATCTTTTATTCCATGTTTTGTAGGGGCGTTCATGATGCCATCRTATGTCTTGTCYTACATACAAATGGGTCAGTTCTTAATGCTAGTCATGACTGTCAGCTGGTTCTTCTCTGTGTTCTATTTYCAGTCCCTATGCGCCTTTATCGGGCCGCAGGGCAACATGGGATCGCTAGAATTCAAGCGRMTKTGTTGYAAAAACAAACCAACAAAGAATGAAGRATTGCCACAACCCAAACCTTGGGACTTGCAAAGCATGGAYGAGAAAGAAACAGAGTTTGATAACATCGAGGAAAATGAAACAGATCGTGTGTAAGATAGTTTAGTCACAGWCCTCTTGTAATGGAAATATTTTCCAGAATGTTTCCAGATAAAGTCCAAGCCACAAGATTTAACAAAGATACACCTATGTTACGTACATTGTAATAAGGATTATTATTGATTTATTTTAGTCGACGTTCATGTACAACATTCTTCTTTTACATCCTTCATAAGTTGAAAATTTTCCATCGTTGATATTTTGATTTGTAAATATCGGTCATGATAAGTTCCATGCTCTTGTGATGTTTAACGTTGTACCATCATTTGTATTGTCGTCTGAACTCGGGTTGTTCTTCGGGCAAGTCAGGAAACTCTACCTGACGCTATACGACTACCACTCCCTTCCTCTCTATACAAATAAAACATTGAATATAATCTAATTAACTTAGTTCTCTTGTATATTTAACGTATCTTTCTAGTATTCAAAAGAGATGTATGTTAACTTATGGAAAAACTGTCATATTCAAGCTAATTCGGTATATTTTGTGGACTAGTTTTACTATCTAAAGAAGTTAAGAAAGCGAACGACGCCCTCAGCTTTTCTGCAGCCCTTGCTCACCAGGAAGTCGATCCGGTCTGGAAAAATCATGCCTTGTGATCGTACGAGGTGTCTTCTCTGTAGAGAAAAAAAGTGCGAAATGACATTCTTCTATCCATCTTTCAATACTCCAATTTCGAGTTCTGGTTTGCTCTGTGTTAGCCTCAAAACCAAGTAACATATTCTTTTGTTTCATTGATAGCTCGAAAAAACGCATGGAATTTGTGAAGAAAGACAATAAATCTGATTTGAAATCTCACACTTTTACGCTCACAATAAGGAATAATTTGCGCACAAATGAGGCTAACACAGAGCATTGGAAAATTCGAAACTGGAGTATTCAGATTGTCTCCCATCCTATTTATCTTATTCTATTCTTAAGTCTATCTTTGTCGTTTTACTCCTTAATTATAGCTATCAGCGTTAGCTTTCAGAGTTCCACTCTGCCGTCTGTTTTGGATGTTATACTCTGCGAAATGGTTACCTTGAGAGGGATCGTAGTGGAAATAATGAGATGCCATTGTTGGCATTTGTTTAGCGAGGTCAATAGTCCGTTGTTGTGCTGGAGTGAATCTAAAGATATAAAAGGACAACAAGTATAAGATCTTGCAATTGACAACTCGAACATCTTTGATTGCTATGTAATCAAAAGAATAATACACTATATACATGTTAATATATCAAATATACTTCTAGAGTTAGTGCTATATCAGTACCTAACTCATTAATTGTAAATATCTTTGATTGCTGGGGCTCTCGATCGTGCGCAAGGACAGAACATGAACGGTTGACTCGGTGATCCAGTTAGTACCGTTAGTTAGTATTTGAGCGCCATACTCCGAGGGTTTGGTAAAATCAGTATTACTTTATAATTTAGAAATGATCTTACTTTCGTTGAACYGGTGGACAGTAGTCTGTCTTCATAACCGAGGCCATGGATGGTTTGCGTCCTTTCGTCATAGCGAGTTGATGGTTGAAATGTTTTATAAATTGGTAATAGTCTATGTTTCCTTGTTTGTCTTGTTCGCACCTAAAAACAATCATGTAAAACGTCAACAATAATCGCATTCTATATGGCTCCTGGCCATAACTACAGCATGCAAGGCAGAATAACCAGCGCCAGAAGTCGTTCTGCGCATGTTTACCACTAGAAATTTTCGCAGTGAAATTGAACTACTTTGATAATAGAGAGCAAAAACTAACGAGTCTAATTTGTGAGTTATATACGTACCTATCGAATAGCATATCAAGCGTACTATCAGGGATGTCCAGGTTGAGACTATTGCAAACCTTTTGCACGTCTTGYTTCRATACTCGACCAGTCCTGTGAATAATAGACGTTATYAAGGTGTTTCGATCATATCATCACCTTAATACGTGTTTCTTACAGAGAAAAAAGGGARCATTTTTTTCTAATTTCATATTTTGTAATGTTTAACTTAAAATAGGTTGATTCAAAAAGGAGCACTATCAAATCATAAAATGCGGTTTTACGTATTTTTAGTTATTTTACTCTGTTTAGTCATCGTACTCACATGTTAGGGTCGAATTCGAGGAAAGCTCTGCGTACGTCTGACGTGTTGGGATCTCTTGGGATACCGTGTCTGTATTCCACAACAAATTATAGCATTAATATCGGATAGAATCAATTTTTTGTACAAGAAATKCCGGACATACTTCATACGGTTCATTTCCTTGAGTCGTTCTTGCAGTAGTGTCACGTTATTCAGGGTGGATTCGGGTTGATKAGACTGGACTTTCTCAGATGATTCACTAAAGAAAACAAATAAGCTCATTTTGAAATGGAGGACTATGACAAGTAGTTGCCATTTGTATCCTTACCCGGGGTTGACATGGGTTTGTTTTGTACCCTTATTTTCATGTTGGGACATTGCCGTTTGTATTCTTACCTTGGAAAAACATGGGAGTAGTTTTGTTCCGATGTTTGTACTTTGCCTGCTGCAGGGAGACTGGGATCTAGCGGAGGTTTCTTTGAGAACTCGTGATGCTGTGGAAGAGTTACGTTAAAATCGATTATTTCTTCGTTTTGATCATGAATTTAGATCTCAAATWATTATATTAATAATGTTTGTGTGCTAATTGAATGTTTCCTTATCCATTTGCTTTCCTTGTAAGTTGGTTTGTATAAGGCCTTTGTTTGTGTGTGGGTTATATTGCACGTTGCTCGCTTATCTCTTGTGTCATWTGAAGAGTGTACCTGTTCTGTTCCCTTGGGCTTCCTGTCTAATCCAAAACCAAAATGCGAGCTTCGGTTGTCTCCAATACGGTCCAAACATTCAACTTTATTTCCCCTATAACCAGTRTTGTTTAACGCAATGAACTTTTCCTACGAAGCCAAAAAATGCATTAATAGTAACCATGCATTCATAGAAAAAATAACAATTTATCCACCTTGTTACCAAGGTAACAGTACTCACGTGTTGTTCAGAGAGGTAAGGATCTGCGGGGGGTCCAGGCAGGGCTCCATTCGTATCCAGGAAACGATAGCGACTCTGTGGAGCACGCCTTGGAGCAAGTGGATGGAATTCTGATGGAGGTGAGGGGTAATCTGCGCCAGATACTATGAAATACAATAATTTTAAGTTACAAAAAGAAAATTTATTTACATTGACTAGTAAAACAAATCATGGGATTCGATGGTAATGCACATGTATCACACTTTTACTCGATTCTCGATATTTCTTTATTTTCCAGAGCTCGACTTGTGGTACATGTAAGTCTAATTCCTGGCAAGTTCCTTATTTTAATAGTAAACTAATAGTAGGTTTTTTAAACGTCTTAGTTCTTGCGCGGCGGCCATTTTCCAGAAAGGACTATTGCGGACCATTACCTATGTTAACGTACCTGATGTTTGTCTGAAGGATTGCGCTATCTTTGGATCTGACGATATTTCAATCGATTGCTTGGAAAGCCGATTCTTGAAAGAGTAAACAGATGGAAAAGTTAGACTTGGTTCATGATGGTGTAATAGCTATGTTTGACTTATTCGGAGTATAGAACATGATGTGATTACCTGATTTTTTCTTGATTCCTGATCTCTTTCCTGTTGGGAGTTACATTTAATTTAATTACGCTGGCAATATCATTGTCAATGTTTTTTATATAAATGTTATTAAGGTTGTTCAGCGATGCTGCTGCTATGATGTCGTTGCTATGGCGTTGTTACTAATGTATTGTTGCTATGGCGTTGTTGCCATGGTATTGTTGTTTTAAGTTTTTACAGTTTCTGTTGTCGTAAGCTGTTGGCTGTTGTTATTTTACTGTTTCTATTGGTGTTGTTCCTGTCATTATGTTCTTGTTGTTACCTGAGCCAGCGCTTTCCCTTTTTCGGTAGGATCGTTAAAGTCAGCTTGTTTTGTAGACTTGAGAATGTCTCTCTCATCTGGTTCTGGWAGAACCTGGTAGGATAATCATTRCAYCGTAAGATGCAAGTCTTCAATAAGGATATGTTGCAAAAATGTTTGATTTTAACATTCAATGATGTAAGGAAATCTCACCTGAGAGGACATCGGAGGTAATGCCGGGAAGGGTTTAGATCGTGGTTCTTTCTTACCCATCATGTAATCTGTATTATAAAGCAATTATTAGTAGACTTTTTAGCCTCTGATWAGTAATCAACAATGATATCAAAGCTTTGAACACAGCCGTATTGCTGGATCCTTCTGCAGCTCACAGTCGTCGAGATAAAATGTAAAACAATATACACAAATTTATCTTGTTCAAAATCTAAAAATAATAGGTTAAAACTATTTTAATAGTCACCTTTGTAATAGAGRGATCTTACGTCTTCACTGTGGTCACCAAGCTAGAAATGCGAAAGAAAAAGCACTTTTAGCAAAGCACTTAAGGTCCCAAAAGAACTCTTATCTATCTTGCATTTAATTGACGTTCTCCCTTGTACTACTAGCAATGGAAAGAGAAGCCTCTTCACTCTCACACGTAATATAGAATTTGAACTTGACTCRKGCTGGAATTATACTTTACCTGGAAATGAGTACTGATGTGGTAGTAGGGATGGTTAGGGTTATCTGTAGAACAAATACTTGGTTAGTTTCCAGGAAAAGTCTTACAATAAGTGCGTTACCATTGCGTTGAATACCTTTTGGTTTTCCACTACTTGTGTCAGGATAACTTAGCTTCATGAAATGAGTCCCGGTGTAGCTTTCTCCAGTGATACTCTGTCCTTGTTTCTCGGTCGTCGTTTCCAGTTTGGTTTTAGGCGAGCCTGAATGACAAGATTTTAAGGTTATTGTACAATTTACTTTAATTTGAGCAAGTAGKAAAAAAATKTCATCTTAATGAATGTGTATTTCGTTGAAAACAGGTTGCCAGAGTGGCATGCATCAGTTTGCAAAGTGTTTGTTATAACAGAAACTGATCAGTTCTTCTAGCAATAAGGTTGCTGTAGCARCAATACTTACTTTCAAGGTAATTAACGAATGCTGCTACATCAATTTTCCCATCAGACAGTGCGCCACTYCTATGTGAAAWTYCMWTWAA